GAAAGCACGGGAGGGCCAGCGACGTCTCATCTCCTTGACGGCCGCCGGGGACTCGACGGGCCTTGAATCGTCGAGGGTCCGAGCGCGACCACCGGCCGCTGCCAGCGACCAGCACTTACACAGCAATGGACGTAAGACAAAGAGCACAGAGCACGCCGGGGCGCGCCATGACCTTAGGCACCAGGTGCCCTTGGAATGGCGTCACTCAAATTAGCCAAAAACAACGCGCGCTTTAGCCAAAAGAATCTCGCGCTCCGGGAGCACCTCCCAAGCGAAGCCGACACACTCGTACAAACCACCAAGGATTGAAGAACATGAATGAGAGACTCATGTCTGCCCGGTTCAATGCATGTGCGTCAAGGAGGCCATCTCTCCGAGGCCGCCACGTCAGGAATAAATTTTGGCCGAAGAGAATCCAACGAGTTGCAACGGCGTCAAATTCCAAGCACAATTTGTTTGCCAGACGCCGGAGGAGATCCGGCTTTTCGGAGCGTGGGCGATGCGGATTAGGTACTCTCCATCTGAAAGCTGGTGAGCCGTTGCTAGGGGTAGACTGGTTCGATTCAGCGCTTTCTACCACATCTTCGTCGCGCGTGAGGGGGGGAAGGTGATGTTGACATTACCGCCGCCGAGTGGGATGGCGGGCGGGTTAGAAAAACCACTTGCTGCCGAGCAGGGAGCCGGTTGGGCCGCGTCCGTTTGCTGCTCCCTGCCCGATTGGTAGGAAATCTAGTTTCTGAGCTACGCTATAAAAAACTTCCATATTCCTCAATCAAGACCGACCTACTTGGGGGCAACAGCCGTATTGGTGTCCGTCATGCCGGTGGTGGGCGAGGCGGGTTAGTTATTTGACTGACACTAGCAATTTGGAAATGGCTTGAGTTTGTTTGCTCTGCGCCTGGATCTTGGATCGTGTGCGATCTTGTAACCGGTCTTCTAGATCGCTCGGCCTTGCACGGAAAACCTCGTCCACTTCTTGGAAACGGCCCTTCACGGACGGTTCACCGTACAACGCGCTTAGTGTATTCGTTAGCACCAATGGCTCGAGTACGATTGCCGATAATTGATGACAGCGAGGAAACAGAGGAAACTCGGGTGCAATTATGTGGGCGGTTCTGGCCATGGGTGAGCTACATGTATTTGCCTGGTTCTGACCACGTGAGTACTCGAAAAAGTCCGGCGCCGCGTTGCTTGACACCGAGCTGGATTGGGTGATAACGTCGTTGTCGAGGTCAGCGGAGCAAGTCCACGTGAACACGGATATGAATATATTTCTCGTCCAATTGCATGTGGTTGGTACACTGCCACAATAGTGTCGCTTGAACACTACTGTATTCGGCTGCAGCGGCGCTGTCTCTGAGTGAAAGGATTTGATGGACCACTCATTCTCGTTGAAAATGACGTGGTGGGTTCGAGTCGCACCAGCTGCCGAATCACACATGTCAAAAACAAAAATGATAGGTATGGCCGGAAGAGCGGGCAGGAGGCTGGCACTTGCCACGACCGTGCATCGATTTGCTATTATGGTCAGAAATCTACAAAGAATCCTGTGTTCCGTCGTCATTTTTCAATTGGATACATGCCGTATTGGACGATCGAGCTCGCGCGCAAGCCCCTCTACCAAGCGCAAGCGGAGAAGTTTCTCTTCTTCTGGCCGCTCGCCTCCAACGAGCTGCAGTTTCCCAAGCACACGTGCATTCGTTTCCACCGCGTCTACCTTTTCGTCGCGGTCTTCCTCGTCCAGTATTGCGCGGGCTCGCTCTACGCGTTCATGGCCCTTCAGAACCCCATCAACATTTACTTTGGGTTCCCCGGCGACGACAGCGCGGCCGCCGGACTCATCTTGGCCACGGGTTGCATTGGTATTGTTCAGCAGAGCACGCTGGGTCCGCTCCTCGAACGCCAAGGCCCGCGCTGGGGCATGGCTATGACCACGCTCTCCCTTGCGCTCTGCCTCGTTTGCATGCTCATCGCTGTGCACATTATGTCATGGCCGCTCTTTTGTACCGCGTACGACAACTTGTCCATTGTTGCTTGATCCATGTGATGTGTAGGATGCTCGGTGTGTCACTCTCGTTCAGCGCCTTTTTCGTCCTCTCGGTCTCGATTGCAATGAAGTGGTGCCCCGACGCCCGGGGCACCGTCGCTGGCGTCTGCCTCGTTGGCTTTGGCGTCGGCAAGGGCATTTGGGCGTTTTTGTACTGCGCCAAGACGGGCCACGAGGGCATCGATATGAAGCGCATTTTTGCGCTCTTCCTTCTCACTCTACTGCCGACGATGACAGTCGCGACACTCGTCATGCGGACGCCGCCGTCCAATTTTCGCGTCGCCGGCTACGACATGCACTGCATTCCATCGGTGAAAGCGCCCGACGTGGACCTTGTTCAAGACGAGTACCTCCGGATTGGCATGACCCTCGTCAACTACGAAGCCGTCGCGCGCCATAGCGAGTCGACGATCCAAGAGGGTACCGACCGCCGGTACTATGAGCAAGTCAAAGCCATGTCGCTGCCCCAGTGCATCTTTTCGATCGACTTTGTCTGCCTCCTCCTCGCGCAATTGTCGACTTGCATGGTGGGCCTCTTCTACAACAACTTGACAGGTGCGACGACGTCCGGGACACAGCTCCAAGCCATTTACCACATCTCCAACGACGCCATGACGACCCTCCACGTCCATGGTCTGGTCGCCGACCTCCTCGGCCGCCTCGTGCCCGCGATTCTATCGGACGTTGGCATTCGCGTCTTTTACGCCAACCCCGCGGCCGTGCGAAAAGTCTTCTTCACAAGTATTCTCATGCTGCAGTGCATAGCGATTCCTGTCGCGTACCTCGAGTCGGACAAGCTGACGCATTTTGCGCACGTCGAGTGGCTTCTCTACGTGCTCCAGTTTGCCTCGAACGCGGGCGCATCGCTGCTCGTGTGCCATCTCACCGATTTGTTTGGCGTCTACCATATCGGCACCATGTACGGCCTCTCGTCGATGACGTGGGCGGTTGGCCAAGGTCTTCTTCTCGCGACGACTGGCAACGACATGACGGCACTGGCCTTTCAAGCCCAGCTCCTCTGGTGGCTCTCGCTCGGGGGGCTTTTAATGATGTTTTTTTGTGCGCGCCGACTCAGCCGACCGGTTCTACCGTGGCTACCAGTTCACGGTTTGCGGCAAAGTCGTGGTGCAGCGACCGTGGAAAGAACCAGCGCAGCGCCAAGGCACGATTGACATTTGCGCCGACGTCACCAACCTGGATGCGATTCGAGCCTCGATCCCGTACCTCTGTGCTCTAGACTCGCTCAGTGACGACTCGTTTGGGGACGACGTCTCGCCCTGACGCATCGGTAGATGATGTAAACATAATATATTGCAGTGTCCTCCTCCAACGCCGGCACTGGTTGTCATGCGGTGCACTTCTCGGCAATTGCAAACACTTTTCTTATTGCACTTCGATTCCGCGTCATTTCGATTGGCTTTCAATCATCGAGACCACCAAGCGAGGGCGTTTGAGCTCTGCGAGAGGAGCACAGACCAATCTAGAGCACCATGTGGCCGAGCCGGCCAACCGCGATCGAGGCCGCGACGCAAGACGTCTCCGAGTCGACCTGTGTGAGGTGGCACAAGAGATCAATGGACGTTGTTGGCGCGACTAATAGTGCAGGGAACGACTAAAGTGCCACCGCGCTCGACACCAGTACACTATTGAAAACCGCCCAGTACGATGCGTAGTGGCCTGTCGCGACGAGGAGAATGCCGTTGACGATTACGATGAGCCGCGTCACTTCGGTGGCAGCAAGGAGTGTCCACCAACACCGTACGAGAGACGCTCGAGCAGCCTGAGATGTGCGGCTGTTGCGTCGCTGTTGAGACATGACCGTCATGTAGTGGCCCGCATCTTAACCCGACAATGAGGTGCTCAAGTGGACAAAAAATCGAGATATTCTCCATACCTAATGTCGAGGCTAGCGCCGTCAGGATGCCCCAAACGCCTTGCGAAGACAAGCAAGAGAGTGAAACGAAACTAACCTAGTCAATTTTAGTGTTTTCGAGCGGCAAATTCAGCCTCCATTAGCCCCATGAGGTCTTCCGACGGAATCGAGCGATGAGATTTGTACTTCTTGACAGCGAACTCTGCAAGATGCGGTGGTAGGCCGGCTTCGTACACCTGCATGTACCGATGACAACGACGCTCAACGCGCTGAACATGCTGCAGAGGGACTTGAGCCAGAGCTGCTGGCACCGTTTCGCGTAGGCTCTTGAACGTGTAGTCGCAGTGTTGGCGGCAGTAGGCCTTGGCGCTTCCCCAATAGTTTTCAATCGGGTTGAACTCGGGATGGAACTTGGGGAGGAGGTCCATCACGTGGTCGGTACCTTCATACACCTCTTCGAGCATCGACTTCTGGGCCGCAAAGTCGGGTTGATGGTCGACCAAGTTGACAGCACAGCACGAGTACGGCTCTTTCGTTGTACAGGGTGTCTATCTGTACAGCCCACGCATCGTCTCGGTCGGGCCAAGAATCTCGTGTTCGCGAAGGATCGTGAGAAGGCCCTTGGGCGTTCCATCGTCGTACTGCAGGCGTTGCGAAAAACACTGGCCGCCCGACGTGTAATAACCGGGACGCATGCCCTTTGGGATGTTTTTGCCGCCGTCTTTGAGCGTAATGACCTTGGCGTTGAGGCCGTCTTCCGGTCGCTTCTTGTGGTTCATGCTGTTGTCGAAGATGAAGACCCCCGTCTTACCGACGTGGAGTCTGTCGAACGCTGGCAGGGCATCATCTTTAACTTGGTCGATGAGGTCCTCGCACCGCCACCAGCCATCGTCGTTAATGCCGGGTGTAATGGTCTTGTGCGTAAAGAGACCGTCGCACAAGAAACCCGAGGCCTGTAGTCCGCGCTGTAAGCCACTGTATGATAATGGAAGGGGAATCCAATACAATGATTGATTTGCCGTCACCCTTTGGACGCAGAACTCGTTTTGCTACTACCCAGCCCATATCCGGACGGACGATTGCCATCAAGGCGCCGCGTGTCGCTCAACTGCACTTGCACCACAGTCTCGTCCAAAAAACCCCGAGTAGCCTGCTCGTCGTCGGCTTGGCTTCTCCGGCTCCTCGCCCAACATGAGTGGCCACGCCGGCACCTTGACCCGCGGATTGCGCTCCAGTCTCCGTCTGCCTAGATCGCGTTCCTCAACTGAGCATAACGGTTACATAAGGATAAAAGTCCGACTCCTTTTATATGTTAGCAAAGTTATCAACAACACGAGTAAAACTACCTTAGCATGTAAATTAAAATGTCGGACTTTCATCCTTATTCAACCGTTCAACTTGGATGAGGAACGCGATCTAGGCAGACGGAGACTGGAGCGCGATCCGCGG